AATTTAACTCAGACAGCATAAAAGGGAAAACAATCTTTAGGAAGAAATAATTTACTATTTTATTTGTTTTGTGCTTAATTTTGATGAATTTATGGTTTACATTGATTTTAAGCTTGTTTTGTGATGAATAAACTTTGCTTAATATCGATATTTAATCATATTTGTTTTTTTACTACAGCAGGAATTTTATCAGAGAAGAAAGCTGGAAGAAAACATGGCCGCTGTCAGATGCTGACTTGTTTTTTGGTGACTTTCAGCATCATTTTGGTGTTGGGAATCATAGCAACTGTTTACTGTAAGTACCGTTGTATAGAGGAATACCAATTTATATTCTATCAATAACTTTATAAGTTTAAATTATTTTACAAACACTTTCTGAACAAAATTAATCTTACAGAAATGATGGAAAAAGATAATGCATTTATTTATTGAAATGTTAGGCTAAACAATGTTAAGGCACTTTTGAAAATAAAAGTCAATCTTTAGATTTCTTTTGAAGGTATTTTTTTTTATTCTAATCCTAATCCTGGAAAGTCATTAGGTTTAAACCTCTGTTTAAATCTTCAAAAAACAAACTTTAAACTACTTGAGAAAAAATGCTTTTTATTGTTATTTTGCAGTTTTTTCTTTTCATGACATGAAGATAAACCAGCTAAGAGCAAACAAGGCAGAAAACAAGAACTTAACGGCCCTCAACAACAAACTCAGATCAGAAAACCAAAACTTAACGTACCAGAATGACAACCTGACCCACGTCTACAATGACTTAGAAACCAGAATCAGAAATCTGACCGTGGAACAAGAACAGCTAAAAAATAAAACCCAGGATCTGAAGAGACAAACCGATGAGCTGGAAGGACGGCAGAACGACCTGAAGGAACAAATAGAAAACCTGAAGAAAACTCAGAATGAGCTTAATGTCAGTCTAGCTCAATGGAGCATTGATTCCTATTGTCCTAAAGCAATAAATGGTAAGAATAGATCTCCTAAAATCTACAGTAAAACCAAGAGAAAACAGTTTTCATTAAATATGGTTTTGTTGATCTTTGTTGTTTAAGGGAGAAAATGTGAGCCTTGTCAAAAAGACTGGAGTACCTTAAAAACCAGCTGCTATGCATATAATAACGCAAAGGTTGAAAATCAGAGAAACTGGGATGGAGCACGAGAAGACTGTAGAGGAAAGGGTTCAGATCTGACTGCTGCAACAAACCAAGAGGAAAAGGTAAAAAACCTGTATGAACTGCATCTATAAATTTATATAGAAACTGCTGATTATGTTTGTAAAATTTTTAAATGTCTCTATTTATTGTTGTCATGTTGATATTAGGGTTATATCAATAGGATCAGTCCTAAAGAAAAGGGGATTAAAGGATACTGGATTGGCCTGA